AAGTAAACAGGAGTCAGATATATAAGGCTTTGCAGTATTAGTAGAGTCAGATATTGAGGGAGAACAGAAGATCAGGAAATAGAGACTACCAACAATTCTTTAAAATCCTGCTGTCCAGGGCCAGCCCCCATGGCCTAGTGGTTAAGTCCAGCGTGCTCGCTTCAGTAGCCTGGGTTTGGTTCCCCAGGCACGGACCTACACTGGTGGTCACTGGCCATGCTGTGGCGGCAGCCCACAGACAAAACAGAGGAAGATTTGCCACAGATGTTAGCTCAGGGGGGCATCTTCCTCAGCAAAAAAAAAAAAAAAAATACTGCTGTCCAGAGAAGCAAAGATACAGTTCAGTAGCTGAAGGAACACAACATCAAAGAACAGTTTAAGACAGAAACACTACAGCATGTCGGAGTGCTGATGTCAATGATCCAGCAGACGAGAAGAAAGTGATGACACTGGGAAGAAACGATAACTGGAGGAGTAATATTTTCAGAAGACGTGAGAAAATGGTATCCAGGGCATAAGTGTAGGGATTGGATTTTGCCAGGAATAGAGATGCTTTATCCACTTTAACATAAGGAAAGTAGTAGAATGGGTAGAGATACAGGTAGACTAGTGAATTTAGTGATAGAAAGGAGAAGAAACTACTCTGTGATAGCTTTCATTTTCTCAATAAAGACAAGGTCTAAAAGAATGAGGTAAAGGAAGAGAGGAAAGGGGGTTTAAATTGGAGATTTAAGGAAAGAGGAAAAGATTTGAAATACTGATTTTCAAGAACAGACAAACTAGGGCATTATAGGAACATTGGCAGTATTGAGTGTGCATTTGAAATTGAGATTATGTGCTTAAAACGAGACCAGTTGGCAAGGTGATCTCCATTTTCTCTATCCATGTTCAGCTCTAAGGTACAACAAACAAGTTGGCCAAGTTGGATTTAATCAGTGTCGAGTTTTGCCAAGTGAGTAAAACAAAAGAATACAGGAGCAAGGAAATTAAAGGGTGTTTGCAATGGAGTGACTGCAAGATGGACCACCAAATCTAAACTGACAAAGGAGGGAAGAGGACATGGATGCTTCACAAAGCACATCTTATACCCCCAAGCGGTCTGTAAACTCAACGACAAAAACCATGAGTTCTTCTATACTATGTATAACTCACCAAAGAAGACTACAGCGTAAGCCTCTCCTGAAGGATTAAATGAGTCTTCCCCATGTGCCAAAACTCCAAATAACACAAACTCATCAGATTTAAAAAAAAAAAAAAAAAAAGGAGCTTTCTAAACATCTTAAAAGAAAAATAAATCTATGGTTGCAATGTTTTAGTTCTAAACAGCAGATGACTGGGTTCCCACAATATTTTCATATAAACAAAGATTAATTGCTGGACATTAATCAAAGGAAAACCATGGCAAAAGAAATTAAACTTAACCACAATTAATTCACTTCATTCGGGAAAATAAAGCCTAATTACTACAGGGCATCCGATCTCAGAACAACTCCCCCTTTCTCACAGAATCAAAACTACTGCATTTCCAGGCACTCTTGCAGCAAATGCTAACTAGTCGAGTGAACTGGAACTTCGACACTACTGCCAACTATAGCCTACCTCATTAAAAATAGTTTAAAATAATTCCAGAAGCTATCTGAATATCTGCTAGAATATTTAGTTTATATAAATTACTGAAAGTCACTCATTTTCCCTACTTTATTTATTCTTTCCATAATTAAATAATGTCAAGAAAATCCTAGGGGATACAAAACATACTTTTAGTAGGTTAGGTCCATATAAAAATTATCACTATCTTTTATACTTATAGATTTTCAACTACTCTTTTCCCTGTGGCCAAATATATGATTTAGTCAGGTCAGTTCAGTGAAATAAAGAAAAATTGGGTCTAGGTAGCACATTAAGGAAGAAAAAGAGATAAAAGAGGGTTTGGTTCCCAGGCTGTGTTCCTACTCAAAACACCACATAGAACAAACCATTAGCAAAGAATTAAAACAGCTTCTTTATGTGTAACACGAGAACACTGAAGTAGATAATACTAAAGTTTTCTTTCTGATCCAAAAATTCTATTCCTAATCTAGTGCTTTGGACTTCCCTCTTTCAAAGGCCTTTTCAAAAGGGGGTGCGCTAAAAGATGTAATCTTTCAATTCATAAGCCTGTTACGCAGGTTCTTTCTCTGGATTACAATTATCAGAAAAGTCTGGAAAAAAACAAAGACAAACATTTTTAAATCAGAAAAAAATAGGCCAACTAAACTAATTATTGGTGACACCCTCCATCATACGCAATTCTTTTTGTCACATTCACTCTTCTCAGACCCATTCTCCACTCTCTTTCCTCTCTCCAAGCGTCAGGCCGAGTAGTGAAATCATGCAGACCTGAGTGCCTCCAGGAGGACTCGGAGGTTATCGAACCCAGACACAGAACTTATTAGGGAAAACAGGAGCTAATAGTTTGCTAATGCAAGTCAGAGGTTCTTATCTTTATATCCCCATCACCAAATTTAGTGTCTATTACATAGCACACACCTAATCTAATTCCTCTATATAACTTATTACATCAGTGATTCTCACTAGTGGGTTCTTTTTAGACATGCAAAATTTCATGTCCCACCCAGACCTACTGAATCAGAAACTCTGGGAGTGGGGCCCAGCGCTCTGTTTTAAAGATTTTATTTATTTATTTTTTTCCCTCCAAAGCCCCAGTAGATTGTTGCATGTCATAGCTGCACATCCTTCTAGTTGCTGTATGTGGGACGCGGCCTCAGCATGGCCGGAGAAGCGGTGCGTCCGTGCACGCCCGGGATCCGAACCCGGGCCGCCAGCAGCGGAGCCCGTGCACTTAACCGCTAAGCCACGGGGCCGGCCCCTAGCGCTCTGTTTTAAAAAGCCCTCCAGGTGAGATTCTGATACATACTCAAGTTTGAGAACCACTATATTAAACATAACAGGAAATCACCTTCCTCTTCATTACTGCTTTGGCAAAAAAAAAAAAAAAAAAATGCTGCTTTTTCTCAGCTGCCACCACTTACAAATGCTTGGGCCCACAGGATGCTGTTAACCACTTCTATCTCCAGCCTGCAAACAAGATGAACTTTAAAGTCAAATACCTTGAGTTCAATTTATGGCCCTTAGAGTTAACAGCTATGTGACCTTATACAAGTTAGTTAAACTCCTGAAGCCTCAGTTTCCTCATCTGTAGGAATAAGAGTAGGAATAATATCAGATAGCTCCATAAATAAGATAGCTTACCAAAAGGTGCCTGGCACCCAACAGACCTTCAATAAATTTAAGATCTTTTTCCTTTCTTCCCTACCACCTTTACCAAGTTCCTGCTACTTTACACAAGCAATGCTCCAAGACAGCACTCTGGCACTCCTCTGAGAAACATCACCAATGCCTCCTATACAGAAAAATGTCTCCTATACAGAAAAGATCTCTAATGAGGTTTCTCTTATGAAAAATACCACAGGAGAGAAGTGAAGTGTTCAAGTCCTACAGAATCATATACAGAACAGCAATTCTAAAGAGGTAGTCCAAAAGACAGTGGGAAAAGCAAACCATACAAAAATGTGCACCTTTGTAACTTAAAAAAATTGGTATTTTCATAGGCAACTTTCTGCTAACATAGGCAATTTTCTCTTAAGTGCTCAAAATAAATCATTACTGGTAACTGGACATAAATGTTATACTTGGAGGGGAGGTAGCATTAGAAAACGCAAGACAACTAGAATACATGGCCCATAGTAAAGTGGTCCAGGCATTCAAATTTCAATTCCCTAAATTTTCTGGGGCAACCTCACTGTCAATTTCTCTGTCCCAATGTTACCACACTACATGTTCTGATTTTGGGCTCAAAAAAATATGGTGACGAGGGAAACCAAAAAAAGAAATAAAAACACTGCCCTGAATGAGAACTAAAAACTGGAGAGTATTACTTTCTTTTAAAATAGTTGAGAATTTTGAGGGGATTTTACAGGACACAATTCCCAACCTCAGCCCTTCCCTCCCTCTAAGCCCAATATTATTAAGTCTCCTATTAAAATGTCTAATTTGACCGCCTTGACTACTAACCCTTTTCACGGAGATGAAAATAGATCAGCGCAAGTGATATATCAGTATACTCGAATATTTCGCATAGTAACCAAGCTAGGCGCATTCGTTCAACTGGCGTTTTCAGCTTTAATTCTCACTCCTCCCGCTGACATCTAAGATGCGACAGCCCTCTATTTTTGCTATTCTGTTAGGGTAGCCAACATTCCAATCCGTAGGACTGAAGGGAAGTTTACGCGTTCGTACTTTTTTCAGGGGACCTTGTTTTCAGAGCACTCGGAAAAAGCAAGCCAGCCCTAAGCTGAATGTCACCACGCTGGGAGTGTAAAACCACCAACTTGAAGTGCCTGGCCCTCCCGGAGCTCGAGTTCGAGCCCCGGCTCTCGAACGCACCAACCTAACAACTTCCATACAGGACACGGAGTATAGTACGGGGAGGGTTACTCACTTGTAACAGGCAACACTGTCCCCTCCACTTCACCCAGCTGGACCCACCCTCCTCCCCTGAACTCCAAAGCGACAGACGCCTCCCCTTTGGCCACCTTTACCGCCTCCTCCCAGCACCACTGACCAACAGTGTCCCCAGGCTCCAAGCGAGGGTCCCGAGTGAGGCCAGGACCCGACGGCTGCCCAAGTCTCCGCGACCCAGGACGCTGCAGAAGTCGCCGCCCGCTGCCCCGCTGCCCCCGCCCCCTCCGACCCCTTCGGTCCCGCTCCTCACTCCAAAGGCGCCGTCCCGGCCCCGCGGCCCGCCGCTCCCGGCACCTCTTCCCCCGACAAACCCGGAACCCGGCGCCGGCCGCCACCCAGGGGCGGGCTCAGGCGCAGCCGGGCCGCGGAGTCCCCGGCTCCCGCCCCACGGCCCGGGCCGCCCTGAGGCTCGCGCCCGGGCGCAGGCGGGGAAGCGCCGGGGGGCCTGGGTCTGGCCAGGGCAGGACAGGACTCACCTTCGTACTGCAGGTCGACCAGGACCAGCAGGAAGGGGAACACCGAGCCCAGCCGGCTGGTCACAGAGCCGGGGGCCACCATGTCCGAGGGCGCGGGCGGTGAGAAGGAACAAGGGTGCGGGGCCCAGCAGTCCCCGCCGGCACTCAAGCTGCAGCTGCGCCCGCCCGCCGTTCGCTCTCGCTCAGGCCTAAGGGGTGGCTGGCGGCCAGCGGAGGAAGGCAGCGGTGGGCGGGGCCCAGACGACGCTACGCCCCGAGCGCCGCCGCCGTCCAATCGCCTTCTTCCTGGCCGCTCTCTTACTGGGCTCGCCGGGGTCGTGGTTCGCGCTGATAGGCTGCGGAAGCCGTCGCCCCGCCCCCGCTGTGATAGGATAACGTGGAAGCACGAAACGAGGCTGCGTCCGCCGGTCGTGGAGCTGTCAGGGAGCTCCACACCGCTGCGGTTTGGCGGAGGGAGGTGGCCGCCGAGTCCGCATGCGCAGGCCACGAAAGCCTTTTTGGGTCGCTCCCGGCACGCTAGGTGGGCCAGGAGGAGGCTTTCAGCAATCCGAGGTGTTCCGGTGAGGAAAGGGAAGCCGCGCGCCCGAATGAGAAGGCCAAACCTGGTCCCGGGAAGGCTGAGGGGAGCCTTAAAGCGCCTAGAATGGAGGCCTCGGAATGGACCGGAGAACACGACGAGTCTCAGAGCCTGCTCCCTCCCGCTGAGCGTCTGGGAACAAACACAGACCGAACTGAAGAGTGCGCGGGAAACGGCCAGGGGAAGCTGGGCTCGTAAAGTAGGGTGAGCTGATGGAGCCCGGAGCATTTCAGGGGCTGCCAGAGAAGAGCATTCGGGACCTACGGCGGGTAAGTGAGCGTGGCTTGGAAGTTTGGGGACCCCCTCCCCGCGACTGTCCAGCGGACCGGCGTGCCCAGAAAAGAAAGCAATTCCGGAAGATTCCGTGAAGAAGAATCCAGGGCGGCACAGAGCTTAAGAGGGCACAGCGTTCTTGAGAGTGCAGCCAACGTCCACTGTAAGGAGAAGAGGAGAGGCCTGTTGGAGTGGACCTTGTCTTCCGTGCTCCTCAGAGGAAACTCAGCAAGAGACAGAGGAACCTGAACAAGATCAAGTGCAAGTTACTCAGTTTGGCGTTAAGTCTGTTCACGGCCTCTTCCTCTGGCGTCCCCAACACAACCCAACACGCACACTATGTGCCAGTGGTGTTTCACCTGGGGTAAAACCGTCGTGCTCTTCTGTGTTAAGCATTGACAAGTGCAGACTTATTACTTTACCAGTAAGTATGTATTTGCCACTTTGGTGCTACGTTACACTTTAAAAGAACTCAAGAATTATAAATAGCGTGGTGAATTTGTGATGTCCTGAAGACGCTCCAAGGAGAGTAAAAGCAGAGAGGCTTGTCACAAAGGAGATGGTTTCCAGGGGAAAAAGAAAACTGAGTTCTTGACTAGTGGTGGTGGAAAGCAATGTAATATAATGTGAAGGCTTCTATTCCAAAGGAACTACTACGAAGGAAATGGTTTCTAGAAACGAACAAACAAACAAAAAACTGAGTTGCTGAATAGTTGTGGTGCAAAGCAGTATAATAAAATATGAAGAGGAGAGGATTCAGATCCAAGAAATATAATTCCACACCATGGCTATTATCTAAGTTATCTTCATCTGAGAAGTGAATATGATCCTGATAGCATCCAAGGTTTGTTCTGAGGTTTAATGATTATAAAGTATTATACAAATGTTACTCATCCTTCTAACAAGAGCAGAATCATGAAGAGACTCCTCTCCAGCAACTCCCTGGGATTTGGGGGGGGGCAGGGAGGGGTGCCCTTTTCCTCATTGACATCACAAGGCTCTGTTAGTGGAAAAAAATGGAAGGTGATTTCACTGTCCTCAGTAGTTAGTGAAGACATCATCCAAATGAGGTACCATGGCTAAGGCAGCCAACAAAATGCTGAATGTAATGAGGAAATCCTGAGTTTTGTAAACAAATAGTACTACACTGGGAGTTATCACCTGGATGGTGGCTGTGATTCTAGTCTTAACAAAAAAGCAGAGTTAAAGAAGTTCTAAGGATGGAAAGTAAAAATGATTAAGGAGATGAAAGACTTTCTGTTATGGAAAATAAAAATAGCAAGGGTCTTCAGTGTTGAGTGATTTCAAAAATTCATTGATCAAATTATGTAACTATGAATCCTAAAGTCTTAAAACTAAGCTTTACAAAGTATCTCTTGAAAGAGATCATTTTGCAACAAAGAAGGAAACATTACTTAGCAATAAATATAGAATGCTAAAATAACATTTATATGTATAAATGCTTGGGAATGTTTCCTCCCATGTTCATCTGGATATGGTTTTCACCTGATCACTCTTGCCAATAAAATCAAAGTAATCAGTGATTGTAGGAAAAATTACTATAAGTATGGTTTGTGTTTATCAGCATTTATTTATGCAATCCTTTTTAAAATTAAGCATGGGGCCGGCCCCATGGCTTAGCGGTTAAGTGCGCGTGCTCCGCTGCTGGTGGCCAGGGTTCGGATCCCGGGCGTGCACGGACGCACTGCTTCTCTGGCCATGCTGAGGCCGCGTCCCACATACAGCAACTAGAAGGATGTGCAGCTATGACATACAACAATCTACTGGGGCTTTGGGGGGAAAATAAATAAATAAAATCTTTAAAAAAAAAATTTAAGCATGAACACTACTGTAATTAGTAGTACCTATTATAATAGCAAAATACTTAAAACAACGATAGAATGTTTAAGTAAATACCACAATATCTAAAACTAGGAATATTATATAATTTCTAATATTATATATTGGTCTATGTTTATTGGCCAGGAAAAATAACGTTGCTAGAGTAGTGTTCAGATCTAGAACACATTTTGGAGGTAAAGGAGATAAGATTTGCTGATGGATTAGCTATGGGGAGAAATAAATGTCCAGAAGCAAGTATGATACTTAGAAACACCTTTTTGCACCAAATTAAAAACAAAATAGGCAGCATTATAGTTAATATAATGAATGCTGCAATATACATCGTCCTGCATTATCTTTATGAACTTGTGCTTTTATTTCTATAAAAGGGATTTCTGAAAGTAGGATTGCGTGGTCAAACAATGCACACATTTAAAATGTTAAGATATCAGATTATTTTCCTTGTAAGTCAGGGTAATTTATATTCCTAACAGCTATTTATGTCCCCACATCCTCACCATCACTAGATATTAATTGATTTTCATAGTTTTTGCCAATATAATGAGTAAAAAATTACCCTTCTATGTCAAGTTTACTACTTGTTTGCCAGGATTTGGGGATTCTGTTCAAACTTTGGTGTCCTCATGTGAAATTTGGCTTTAAAACCATGTCCTGTTTTCTCTCTGCTTGTCTGCCCTATTTTATGTTGTTTGTTGGCTTCTGGCCACATCACTCTAATCTCTGCTTCCTTTGTCCCATCACTTTCACTTTTGACCTTGCTTTCCTCTTATAAGAATCTTTGTAATTAATTATTTAGGGCCTACCTGGAAAATCCAGGATATTCGCTCTCTTCAACATCCTCAGTTTAATCTCATCTGCAAAATCCCTTTTGCCATACAAGATAACGTTGACAGGGGATCAGAATGTAGATACCTTTGGGGGAACACTGTTCAGCCTAACATGATACCCTCCCCACTTCAGGACGTAGAACTTAGTTCCCCTGGCCCTTGAGTGTGGGCTGGACTTAATGACTAACTTCCAAAGAATAGAGTGTGGAAAGGGGAGAGAGAAGTAACTTTACAGTGGAGAAACCTGCAAATACTACCTTGACCAGGTGGTCGAGGTTAATATTACCAATGATAAATTATGTTGATCCCCTGTACCCCCAATATCATGTGATGAGAAGGGCACTTCACCTCTGTGGTATTCTTTCCAAAAATCTATAGCTCAGTCTAAACGTGAAAAAAAACCACATAACCCAAAATTGAAGGACATTCTATAAAATACTTGACAAATACTCCTCAAAACTGTCAAGATCGTGAAAAACAAGAAAAGACTAAGAAGCTGTAACAGACCAGAGGAAACTAAGGAGACGTGATGAGTGAACCAAATGTATTGTGTTAAACTGGATCCTGGAATAGAAAATGGACATTATTGAGAAAATTACTCAAATCCTAATAGAGTCTCAAATTTAGTTAATAGTAATGTACTGTTGTTACATTCTTTTTTTTTTAAAGATTTTATTTATTTATTTTTCCCCCCAAAGCCCCAGTAGATAATTGTATGTCATAGCTGCACATCCTTCTAGTTGCTGTATGTGGGACTCGGCCTCAGGATGGACGGAGAAGTGGTGCCTCCGTGCGCGCCCGGGATCCGAACCCGGGCCACCAGCATCGGAGCGCGTGCACTTAACCACCAAGCCACGGGGCCGGCCTGTTGTTACATTCTTATTTTAATCAATGTACCATGATTATGTAAGATTTTAACAATAGGGGAAAATAAGTGAGGTGTGTTCAGGACCTCTCTTGGCATGTATTTTGGTAGTAATGGGATAGACGGTACTGGGCCAAGTGGGTAATCAGGTTATCTTCATTCAGTTAATTACTACTTAATTGCAATACAAAAGTATAGCCTAAAATGTTTTTGATAGCTGTTTAGGCTCTGGAAAGACCAACTGGCAAGGGAACACAAAAGGTTTGCTTGTTGAACCTCTATTACAAATTCATAACAATGATATGAAAACTAAAATGAGAAGACAGGCAAACAAAAGGACCTAGCTGGAGTCTTAAACCAAAATAAATATTCCAGGGCCAGCCCGGTGGCATAGTGGTTAAGTTCCCGCGCTCCACTTTGAAAGCCCGGGGCTCCCAGGTTTGGATCTTGGGCGTGGACCCACACACTACTTATCGAGCCATGCTGTGGCAGGCATCCCACGTAGAAAGTAGAGGAAGATGGGCATGGATGTTAGCCCAGGACCAATATTCCTCAGCAAAAAGAGAAGGATTGGCAACAGGTGTTAGCTCAGGGCTAATCTTCCTCACCAAAAATAAAAAGATAAATGTTTCCATGGACTAGAAATGGAAAAAAAACCACCACAAAGTCCTGTGTAAGCAGAAACCAGGGGAATGCTAGCCTATGTTTTAGATCTAGGAAGGGACCAAGAGTAATCCAGAGACAGTCTCCTTGTTCTCCTGCTGCTTGACACCACCACCAGAGGTAGCTCTATTACAGCTACTTGTTTACATGGAATTGAAGAAACCTAGGAATAGCGAATTAAGCTGCTCCTGACTGGCTCTGCAGTCAACCTGGAATTGCCATGATAACACAGGAGAGAGTGAGCATAGAGAGAAAGAAAATTGGAAAAACAGGAAAGCAGATAAACAAAAACTTACGTTTCCACTCAAAATAGAACTGCAAAATAAAATTTCAAAACATATCAAGAAAGGCAACAAATCAACAATTGAACCTAAACTCAAGAGGAAATTCATTTTATAGACTAATGCTAGCAGACATAAAAAAAAATCACATCCATAAATACAAGAAAGTATGGAACAAAACTGACATAAATGAAATGAGAAAAGGTGGATGTAAAAAATAACTGTATTAATATCCTGGGGCTGCCATAATAAGTTACCACAAACTGGGTGGTTTGAAACAACAGAAACTTATTCTGTCATAGTTCTGGAAACTAGAAGTCTAAAATCAAGCTGTCGATGCCATACTCTCTGAAGGCTCTAGGAAAGAATCCTTCCTTGGGGCCGGCCTAGTAGCAGTGTGGTTGAGTTCGTGCTCTCCACTTCAGCCGCCCAGGGTTCACAGGTTCAGATCCTGGGCATGGAGCTACACACTGATCATGAAGCCATGCTGTGGCAGTGTTCCCCTTACAAAGTGGAGGAAGAATGGTGCAGATGTTAGCTCAGGGACAGTCTTCATCAAGCAAAACAAAGGAAGATTGGCAACAGATGTTGGCTCAGGGCCAATCGTCGTCACCAAAAAAGAAGAATCCTTCCTTGCTTTTTCCTCATTTCTGGTGGCTCCTGGCAATTCTTGGCATTCCTTAGCTTGTGGCTGCATCATTCTACTCTCTGCCTCCATCTTTGCCTGGCATTCTTCTGTGTGTCCTCTCCTTTTCTTCTTAACTACTTACATCTGCAAAGACCCTAATTCCAAGTAGTCACATTCTGAGACTGAGTGGACATGAATTTTGGGATGAGAAGCACTATTTAATCCACCACAATAATTAATAAATAATCTTGGAAATTAAACTACTCCCTGAAATTTTTTAAAAAATCCTAATATACTGTACACACACAAACTTAACAGATGGAATACACTCTACAACACAAAGAGAATAATTAGAAGACATTTTAAAACATATCACTGTCAGGAACTCTTAGACCAGGCACACACAAAAATCTTAGTAAGAATTGGAAACGCTTAAAAAATTTGAGCAAAAATTTAACAAGCTTTTTCTAACACTTTAATAGCTCTATATGTAAGGAAAGAGAGAGATGATGATCTGCCTAGCAAATAGGAAATTTTTTTCAAGTACTCATGGAACGTTTACAAAAATCTACCAACTAGTTCACAGAGGAAGTTTTACAATTTCCTAAGAATTATTATCATACATTTCATGTTCTCTAACCATAATGCAAGTAAATTGAAAATCAACAATAAACAGATTTTTCCAAGTCATATGTTTGGAAACAAAAAGTATCTCTAAATTAGTCATGATAAAGACAAGATCATCACAAAAATTCCAAATTATGCAAAACTAGATGATGATGAAATGCTACATTATCATAATTTGTGGAATACTGGTAAAGCAAGTATTTAGAGGGAAATTTAGAGCCTTAAATTCTTTCAGTTAAAAACCAAAAAAAAGGAAAACAAGTGAATTACACATTAAGCTCAGGATGCTAGAAACACTACGGAGCAAGAATAAAGAAACAAGGTAAGAAATAATGAAAATATGAGCAGAAATTACTGTATTGTGGTGGCAAAGAAATATGAAGAATTTAAATCAAATAGCTAGTTGTTAATAACAGTTATAAAATAGACAAAAATAGAGAAAACTTCAAAAAATAGAGAAAAGGCATATATTAGAATTTAAAAGGAGGCACACAACTACACATATGATAGAGATGTTTTAATTTATAAGATAAAAGATTGAATGTCTTTTGCCAATAAATTTGAAAATGGAGATGAAAAAGAAAAATAGAATACCTGAATAAGCCAATAGCTATTAAAGTAAATTAGTAATTATACATCTCACCCTAAAAAAAGTCACCTGTCCCCCACAGATTTGTAATCCCTGTCTTATACAAAGTATTTTAGAGTGTTTTACAAAAAAGAGGAAAATCTTTCCAACTCATTTTAGGGGGCTTGATGCTAAAACCGGAAAGAAAAGAAAATCAGCAACCAAGTTATGAGGATAGGGAAAGCAATCTTAAGTGGAATATGTCCAAATCATATTCAGTAATTAAAAAAAAGATAACCAAGAAGGCGTTATCAAAGATACAAAGATTGATCAACATCAAAAGGTCTTTTAATGAAATACATCAAATCAACAGGTGGATGAAAAATCATTTTTACAGATTGAATAAATCCTTAGATAAAATACAGCACTCATTCATGTTTAAAAGAAAAAAGATCTCAGCATAAAATGGATGCAAACTACCTTAACTTGGTAATTGGTATTTATCAAAACTTCTGTTTTGAGGATGGTAGTGTCAAATCAGTATCTCCTTCTTTCCCTCTTGGAAATCACCCAAAGCCACACAAGAACAACAAATAAAAAACAGAAAAGCAAATTACAACCTAAACAAAATGTAGGAGACTGTTGAAACTCCATTTCCCGTAGTAAGTGGAAGCAATGCCAAACTAGAGGAATCAGAGGATGCCTGCTAATGCACATCTCAAGAAAAGATGCCAAGATACTTCTCAAGGGTTAGAGGCATATCCTGTAGCACAAAACCCAAATACCTTGCTTGCAAAAAGGAGAATGAGATGCACTGGTTGGTGACAGAAACTAGTTAGGACAAACTTTGATTCCGAGAAGCAAAAGATATGGGCTTGAAAGATGATTCACTTATTTATTAATTGTCATTTCCAGGAAGCAATATATCCCCATTGCAGACTAAGAGAAGAGAAACTTTACATGATGAACAGCATCATGGCTACCTGGTCTCCCTTTGCACAAGAGAAATAAAAGCTAGATTAATTCTTACAAAAACTTGGATCATAAGAAAAATTATGGCTTGTGTGGAGCACAGCCCAATCTCTTCCTCTATACAAACTTTCTAAAAAAAGCAATTTTAGGAAAAATTCACCTCCTTCAATGATAAGTTATCAAAAAAGATAGAATCAAATGGCCAATAAGCACAGGAAAAGGTACTCAACACGATTTGTAATCAGGGAAATGCAAATTAAAACCATAATGAGATACCACTACACACCCACCAGAATGGCTTAGAATGAAAAACAATTAAGAATACCAAGTGTTGCAAGCATTTGGAGCAACTGGCACTCTCATACATTGCTGGTGGGAAATGGTATAACTACTTTATTATTTTTTATATATATATATATTTTAAAGGTAATCTTTTTATTTATTTATTTATTTACCCCAAAGCCCCAGTAGATAGCTGTATGTCATAGTTGCACATCCTTCTAGTTGCTGTATGTGGGACGCGGCCTCAGCATGGCCAGAGAAGCGGTGCGTCGGTGCACGCCCTGGATCCGAACCCGGGCCGCCAGCAGCAGAGCTCTGGCGCTTAACCGCTAAGCCACGGGGGTGGCCCGGTATAACTACTTTAATAAAACTGTTTGGTAATGTGTTAGAAAGTTAAACCTATATGTACTTGATGAGTTAGCAATTCCTAGGTATTGATCTTAGAGAAATGAAAACATATGTCCACAAAAAGCCTTGTACAATAATGTTCACTGCAGCTTTATTTATAATAGCCACAAACTGAAAAAGCCTCATTCTCCATCAAGGGGAAAATGGATTAAAAAAAAAAACTGTGATAAATTCATTCATATGATTTTTTATTTTATTTTTTTATTTTTTCCCCCCAAAGCCCCGGTAGATAGTTGTATGTCATAGATGCACATCCTTCTAGTTGCTGTACATGGGATGCGACCTCAGCATGGCCAGAGAAGCGGTACGTCGGTGCGCGCCCGGGATCCGAACCCGGGCCGCCAGCAGCGGAGCGCACTCACTTAACCACCAAGCCAAGGGGCCGGCCCTCATTCATATGATTTTTAAAATGCAAACACAAAAGACTATGTACTGTAACAGTGATGTGAATATACTTAATACTGAACCATATATTTAAAAATGGTTAAAATGGTAAATTTTTATGTATATTTTACAATTTAAAAAATAATAAAAAAGACTATGTACTGTATAATTCCATTTGCATGAATAAATTCAAGAAGAAACAACAGTAATCTGTAGTGATAGGAGTCAGAATAGAAATTATCTCTGGGTAGGGGGCATTATCTGTGAAGGGAATAAGGCAGCCTTCATATTGGAAATGTCCTATATTTTGATCTGATCACAGATCGCTATATAGTAATGTGTTATATATATTTTGTGTGATATATGTAATGCATAGTTAGTATCTAACACTTTCCTGTATATATGCAATATATCAAAAGAACAAAGCAGTGACAAAGAGCCTAGGAAAGAAATAGAGAAATAAAACTGAAATGAATTGAGAGCTGACAGAACTCAGGAAAGAAGTGGAAGAAAGAAGCCATGACAGCAATGAAGGTCAAGTTGGAAAGGAAAATTGTGCTGAAAACCTAGTAAGCGACAGAGGGTATAGGAATGAGAAAAGTAAGCAAAATGAAATTAAATAAAATGTTAAAAATGATTAAAATGTGACTGGTGGCTGCATGGCTGTGTTAACTTCGTGATAATTCAATGAGCTATACATTTACCATTTATGTGGTTTGCTATATGTATATTATACTTGAATAGAAATGTTTAGTAAAACAAGGATTGGCAGAAAAAGAATTGATGTGAAAGACAAGCAAACAATATGCAATTATACACACATTTCAGAGTTCCCAAAGGAGAAATGGAAATAAGGGGAGAGAACAAGTATATCAACATATAAGAAAAATATCCAAGAATAAAGGAGGACTTGAATCTGCACATTAAAATAACACTTTTATTTGTACCAGGAAAAATTGTCTCAGAACTGTCAATCATGAAACATATCCATCTAAAATTAATTTTTTCAGAATTCTAAAGAAAAAGAAAGAATACTATGGACAGCCAGACAAAAAGTTCAAGTCATTTATAAGAGCAAATAAATTTAGAATGGTCAGTCATTTCTAAACATTCACTGCTATAAGACAATTGAGCAAAACAGAATAAAGGCTACAGATGGGCAATTTTGGATGTGCAAGAACATGAGAATATTGTTCCTGTGAGTCATTCTTGAAGAAATTTTTTCTGGGTTCATATATCATTATATTTGCCTCCAAGAAAAATAGTCTCATGGGGATTCTCCTATAGTTAGATCATTTTCCACCCCCTTTGTCACAATCCAGAATTTCTAGTCCTCCATCAGACCTGGTTGGATTCATCACTGTCAGGGCCCCATTATGATAGCTGATATAATTACTGAAATTTCATTTAAAAAGAAATGTGTTTACACATATAAATTTTATTTTATATTTTTTAATTTTTATAAATTTAAAATTTATAAATTTTATTTTGACATAATTTTACACTTAAATGTTACAAGGATCTTCTCCCTGTCCTCCATGCAGTCACCTGGATTGAGGATGTGATTGTGGGAACTGCAGCACTCATCTGCTAC